CGTAAAGTGCCTTGGAGAGACCGTTGGCAGAAAAACACGTTAACCTCAACTCTGACAAGGATTCAGAAGGAATGAAATGCATGGTACAGAAAGCTTCTATCATCCTGAAGAACATATCTACGGTTGTGAATAGAAGGTCGACAGAAATATGAATGTTAGAGGCGTTTCCTCAGAAAGAAACCAGGAACATGTGACTGGATACTGGAAGAATGGTGGCCCTTGTCACAAGCAGCAGAAAACTTGGCTGAACTGTGCTGCACTGCTGGGTGGAAAGCAGAACTTGTACGTGAGGGACTTGGATAAGCAGCTGAGATCTCCAAGGCGCTGAAGGTGTGGCCTGGTTTCCCCTTAGTGATTACAGAAAAACATGAGTAAGGAGATGCATTAAGAAGGGACTGTTAAGCAAAAGAAACTAGCATGTGATGACTTGAGAGGCTCTTCACCTATCCAGATTGCAAAGGACGCTAAAATCGGGCAATTCACTGTTAGCAAGCATGCCCTGGATAGCTGGACAACTGTCTGCGGAAGCGATTAGGTGTGTGACTAATGGTTCCAAACAAGCAGAAGCCAGAAAAAGAGACAGGGTTATCCAGGAAGATGTGCTGATAACCCTCCTGTTTAATGGTGTGGATTTTCTTGACATACACCAGGATTTTGAGAATAGTATACCAGCAGAAACATACCAACCTGTACTGAAAGGGACAGAAAAAACATGAAATGAAAGAAGGCTGTCAGGCTTCTGGGATTCCTCAGGCAAGAAATGGGTTGACAGAGCTCCTTAACTGCAAACATGTGCTAACTTTTAAGGAAAGGAGTACATTCAGAGGGCAGAGCTGCAGAGCTCCTTCTGGTCAGAGGGAGAAGCCACGGGCCCAGGGGGCAGAGCATCAAGCCCCAGAGATTATCCTCAGGCACTGAAATTTAATGAATTTGCCCTCCTGGGTTTTGAACTTGCTTAGGACCAGTGACCCTTTCATTTCTTCCAATTTTTTCCCTGTGGAATGAGAATATTTACCCTATGCTTGCCTATCACTGTATTTCACAAGCATGTAATCTGTCTGCTAGGTCCACAGATGCAGAGAAATCTTGTTCCAGAATAGACCACATACTTGATCTAGGTGACTTAGATGATGAGATTTAGATGAGATTTTGGACTTGGTACTGATGCTGTAGTAAGTTGAGACTTTTGGGGATATTGGGACAGAGTGAGTATCTTTGTCCAAAAGATAAGACATAAACTTTTGGGCACCAGAGGGCAGACTGTTAGTGGGCTAAATTGTGGTGCCAGAAAGGTAAATCCAAGTCCTAACCTTTGATACCTGTGAAGGCTACATGGAACTTGGGTCTTTAAAGTTAAGGATCTTGAGATAAGTTCATTCTGAATTTAAGGTGGACTCTAAATCTAATGACCAGTGTCCTTATAAGAGAAAGGAGAGATAGATTTGACCTTACACAGCTATGTAAAGATGGAGGCAGAGGATGGAGTGATGTGTGTATAAGCCACGGAATGCCAAGGGTTGTGAGCAGTCATTAGAAGCTAGAAGAAGCCAAGAAAGATCCTCCCTTAAGGCCTTGGGAGGGAATGTGGCCTTGCTGATATCTTGAGTTTGGACCTCTGGTCTCCAGAACTGTGAGAGAATAAACTTCTGTTGTTTGAAGCCACTAAGTTTATAGTAATTTATGGCAGACCTAGGAAACAAACAGGCTGGGTGAAGGGTATATTACAATTCTTTACACTGTTTTTGTAACTTAAAGGTAAAATTATATCAAAATGGAAAGTTTAAATAAAATAACATCCAATAATATCTTGAGCCTGGTATGTGAATCAGTATGTAGTAACCCGGTACCTGCGTCTTGCACTCCTGAAATCATTTTATTCTATGTCTCACACCATCTATATTTTATGCCCCCTTTTTAGAAGAGTTGGGCTCATATACAAGAATTTACTCTATGGTAAAATTACTTACCACAGACAGTTAAATAAAGCATATTTTAAATTAGTTATTAAAACTTACCAACTGTTTTTCACTCACAGGAGATGGAGGTGGGGGAGCAGTTTCTCCTGAAGAGGGACGCCAGGTCAAGAGCCTTTAAAACACCAAAGTCACAGCAATCAGAGTGGGAAGCATGCCACATCCAGCATACTTTGAAATGACATGAGCTGGGAAGTAAGTTCAAGTTGTCCTACAAACAACCCAGGTGCCATCAACAGTCACTCAGCGAGGCTATGTCTTAGCTTCCCCATCAGTAAAACTTCCCCTACAATTCAATTACAAACTTATCCCTTAGAAAGAGATGACAATTAACTGTAAAATACAACATTTGCAAATAAACTTTCCTTAGATTATTAAATTTACAGAACTAAAATAAATGCTGAGCTTTTTTTTCCAATTCAGAACTACTGTTTGGTTTAAACTGTATGAATAAAATCTGATAAAATCACTTCATTATGACCCAAATTTTGGATGCTCAGACTAAAGGTTTTGGTTTACAAAAAATTTTATTCATGTATCTGTTATGGTTTATAGGAGTTTTACGAAATAAATACAAATTCATGGAACACTGAGCTATTTTAAAAAGGATTTCCATTATGAGAAATCACTAGTACTATCAAACCTTTTATATCCATCACTCAATATACAAACATCAAGTTGTATAAAATAGTCTTACGCATGTGGGATCGTGGTTTTGAAGATGTCCAGGGTGCAGTTGCAAGTTTTGTCCCAGATTTCTAGGGTAAATTTTTCACCATTCAGAATAACAACGTTCTCTAAGCAGTTTGTACCAGATCGTGCTAACTGCTCATTGTCTAGAAAAGAAAAGAGCAATTCATTTGTGTATTACCAGGGTCACATTTAACACTTTGTGTCACTTATCTAGTAGAGACCTACCTTGCTGCACGCACCAGTAGAGCTGGGAAAAAATGTCATCCAAAAGTACATCACTAAGTACTTCTAAATACTGGGTGAACACATCACAGATCGCGTAAAGCGCATGGTTACAAGTTGTTGTCATCCACTCAGCCTTCTACGGGGGAAACAGGCATTAAACGAAGGTCAGACCGTTCATCAACTACTAGAATTAGAAAAGAAACACGCTGCATACTTAAAACACAAGCCTGTGTTCCTTTCAGAGCACTTAATTCCCTCCAGAATATTACATTCATCTCAGAGACTTCGTATCTGGTATCTATTTCTCTTCATTATCCCATAACCATCTATGTATAAAATGATTCAACTATTTTCTGTACTTTTTGTTTTAATCATAAAAAACAACCACTTAAGAGAAAAAAAACCACTACTGCTTTGTCTTGCTATTAATGTTGTGATTTTTCAAACAAGGGGCACTAATAACAACTGGCCATGCTCCAGAACATGACAGAACATAAAAGAAAAACAGGAAGGAGGTAACAGGAACTTACCCAAGTGGGGTTAGCATGGGTTTAAAATGAAACTGGTGTAAGCAGTTCCTTTATTTTTCTCAAATACATAAATGATTAATCTGAATTGATGATTTTTATATATGGTTTTGTGCCAGTGCATAGACATATGTCTACTTACTAAGACATTTTAAGCATCTACCTGTAGGTCTAAAGCAGTTTTGTGCAGGTCAGTGAGGCCTTAAATCTGCATTTAATCCACTACATGGGCCAAAACACGAAGACCTGCTATTCTCTCCCCACACTAACTGAAATGAGTACCTATCACTGTGTGTAGTGAAAGACACTGAAACAAATAAAACTTACCATGTATTCTTTATTAATTCAGAATAAGTCACTATGAATACGAAGGAAAGCTACTGATGTTTTAGTTGTGACAATATTAAAATGAGGAAGATACTGGAAGTTCAATTAAAAACACCAAAAGCAAAATCCCAATTCATTAACTCAGTTCTACCCCCAAATCGTATTGTTTATAAAGACGTACTATATTATAATGCCTTAAAGAAAAACCTTCTAGTATTTTTTTTTCTGTTCACTACATTTAATTTGAAATACTAAAATGTATTAGAAAAAGAGAGCCTTTTGACTTGAGTGTTACATGAAAATTTCATGTTCTCTTACCTCTGTCTGCTGTTCTGGCAATTTCATGTTGTCAAAGATTCTGAAGACAATTCTAAATAAATCTTGCCACCAGTGTTTTTCATAAGTGTGGCCATAAGTTTTCATTATTTCAAACATTACCGTTAAACCCCTAAAACGATAAAAAAAAAAAGTTAAAAAAGCATATCACATCAAAATCCCCCTCCTAAAATAGTTTTTATAGTTCACAAAACTATTGAAAACAAAGTTTAACAACCAGCTTTAAGCTTTGCTTTCAACAGCTTCGTGAGCTTTAGAGATTTAAGCTTTAAAACAGGCTTCCTTAGGATGCATCATTTAGGGAAAAACTCCAAAGGCCTTGGTCTTAAAAATTTTTTTCTTTTCTTTTTCTTCCACTCCCATCCCATCATTTCAGCATTTTAAAATTGTAAATGAAATTACAGATTGAGGAAGATCATCATTTGGGTGAATATTAATTTTGTGGAAGAAAATATACTGACATTAATCTAAGAACAAATTAAAATTAGATTTTGGAAAAACTTTTTCAAAGAGCTATATGAATTTTTAGCCAACACTCTAATTGTTCATATAATATCCTCAAACTAAAGGATATTATATGGGGGGGGGGAATATCATGTGGGCAGGGTGCCTGTTTCCTGCTGTATCCCAGGCACAGAGCAGCTCGATACATAGTGAAGTATTCGTTGAATGAAGAGTATTCCATTCATTTCTTCTGAGTAAGTATTAAAACTAAAACTCAAAATTGCCTTCCTGATTTCTTACTATCTTTCTTGAATAAAGTCTTCATTAAAAAGCTTGATCTTTTCTCTACACATTAATCTCTTCTAGTAAACTATAGGTACCCTTCCATTTAGGAAAGATTTGTATTTCCAAAAGTCTGAGGGAAGTAAGCTGGAACAAAGTTTCTCCGGGTTAATTATTTAACTCTAAATCTACAGAATTTTGAGACTCAAATGAGAATACACATGGAAGTACTTTGTAATTAGCGTGTTACATAAATCATGGTGCTGCATTTTAAAATGTAATCCAGATAACTGCCCTTCCAAATCCCGGAATGAGATAAGAAAAAGCCATCACTGAACAAAGTTTACTCATATTTTCTCTCTTTTTTTTACCAACTAGAACACATATTTTCTCCTCTCTTTCACAACTCATCCATAATCTGGAACACAGGGTATGGTGAGAAGCAACGTAGCGTGGTCCCAGACAAGGACAGGCTAAGAGACTAAGAGAGCAGATAGGTCCTGAGTCTAACCGATTTCTATAAATAAACAAGGGCAGGGAGAGGGTGTTGAGTTTACAAGACTTTTCAGTTATGACATGGCAGTTGCTCTACTGAAGTGGCTGGACATTTGAAAGCTGGAAATCTGAATAATTTAGAGTTACATCAATTGGCGGCTGTCTTGAATTCTATCAAAGTTCCTAAAAGGAACACCAACCACCAACAAAAATTTCTCAATGCCTAAATGCAAAATAAAATGTTAGAGCCTTTCACCTAAGCCTGCCTGCTCTCAGAAAGAAAGAAAGTCGTATGTTCTTGTGATTACTAAATTCTATGACAAGTTCCCAAGGTTTGAGTCCTATTTTAGATTATTTTCTATTTCATAAAAATTTGTTGTAACAAATGATACTATAAAAATGAAAAATTTCTTAGGATATAAAACAAACTTAACCTTGGCTGGGGATGAGTGTGCTTCTGACATAAGGGGAGGAAGGAGAGATTCATTCTTTAATTACATTCTATCACTGATTTGTTACAAGTCTGTATTCTTTCTGACTTAAAAAAAAATCCAATAAATCTAACTGTCCAAAGGACTAAAAAGGAGGCGGGAATATATAAAAGAGGGATTTTGTTTAACACAATACTGAACTCATGCCAAGCACTGCTGACAGATACCAAGACACACAAGTTGATCACTTCAATCTGGCGGTCAAAAATACAGGGTGAGAAAAACTATACTATTGGATTGATATGGAATGTAACAAGTTCATATAACAAGTTCTTATAAGAAGAGTGGGCTGAGCACTTGTCTGATTACATTACATTCATAATAGTTTCTTTACAAATGGACTATATATTCATATAGTTCTTTTATTGAGAATGTACTTTTGAGAGAGTTAAATTCTTTTTGAATAGGCCTAAGTTATTCAAAACTGTTACTGGACAGTCTTTAAAGAGAAATAGTTCTTTGCCTAAAATACACCAAAGACATGCATTTGGAAATTTTTATCATTCGTCAGGAAATAAAATTCTGCCACTAGCTTCAATTTCTGATTGGAAACAGATGTATGAAAAGACAATGTGTAAATTAACAAAGAACCTAAAACTCAAAGTAGGCCATAATCATATTTTAAGGAAAAGTAATTTATTTCCATTTTTATTGTTGCTCAATTCATTTTAAAATCTGCCTAATAATTACATTTGATAAAACTGAACTTGTGTTCACATAAGAAAAGTTAATTTGATTAACATCAAAATAAGCCTTTTAGAATTTTAATTACAAATACTGATTGTTACCTGGTTCTTACATCTAATTTGCATCTATTGATGATACAGGATAACTCAAAGAGAATTGGGAACCATCCTCTCACCCACACCCTGTCTTCAGGTGCCACATTCATGTCGTCACTTGTGTATTCCTTGAAAGCCTTCAAGAAGAAAGGCAGGTTTATTAAAGGCAAAACGTAACGCCTATACATTAAACATATTATTTTCTCCTAAAAAAATGTTTAAATGCTTTACAAATCAAAAGCGAGCAATCTGATAAACAACTTGTATTAAGGTGGAGACTACAACTGCCTGCAGGTCATGGACAGAATTCAAAAGCTGGTTTTAGCTGCAACTCCGTCACCAGCTTTCTGCATTATTCAGGTTTCCACATTTATCATTTAAGTGGGACGACACCACGCAGCCACCCCAAGCACACTGGGAGGTGTGACGATCACATGAGCAGATGTAAGAGGTATTAAGCACCCAAAGGTCCATGACAGGATGCAGTAAAGATCTATGAAGCATCACTTCTCCTTGTGACAGTTACAAAGACAGATTCAGACACACAAGTTAAAGCTGGCAGCCTGGCTGCCGATTCAACCTTTCACTTCAGTGCTTAAGCCCACACCCTCCCACAGAGAACTTCTGCATGCAGAGCACGATAGGTAAGACATAGTACATTAAGGTAATGGCTAAAAACACAGGCTTGAGTTCAAATCCCAGGTCTCCTTTACTATCCCAGGGGCATATTTTTTTTAACTTCTTTGTGCCTCAGATTCCTTATCTATATGGGACTACAACACATCTTATCCTAGAAAGCTATTATGGAAAATTAAAAAAGTTAATAGAAGTGAAACACTCAGAAAAATACCTGAAATCTTCAACAAATGTAACCATAACTCAGAATCAAGCTCAAATAATTCTGGGGTTAACTGAAAAATAAATGCTTCATATACCCTCAATTTCCAAATAAACTTAGATTTCAGACTGGAAATAAACGTTCAGTAAAATTTTGTCACTAAATGATGCTATACCTGAGGTCTATCAGACACATATTTTGCACAATGGCGAATAAGTCGAATTGCTTCCATACTTGTGTCTGGGAAAGCCGCATTGCATGCAAATTCAGACAAACACTTCACTGCATCCTGGAAAGAATCAATGGTTGCTGGAAAGTGTTTTTCAAACACAAGCGCTATAAGAGAGAACAACGTAACAAAAAATGATCATTTTCCAATTTCCAATTATTCTTATTTGTACCCCACACACCAACCTCTAGTTGTAACAGATCTTAAACCTAGATATAACCTTCTTAGGTTACGGTTTTGATGTCCACCAGACATGGGCCTAAAAGTCTGTCTTGACCACTTACTTGACTGCCTTGAGCAGTGGGAAAAGGGAAACTCTGTTAGAAGCCTAGCATCTAACAGAGTGGTATACCAAAATCAATGGTTATTGAGTGACTATACACAATTACACTCAATCTTTCTGTATCTGAGTTTCCTAATCTATAAAATGGGGATGAAATACCAATGGATAGTTGAAGCACTAAATAAAATGTAAGTAAAGTGCTTAGCACAATACTTAATTCAAGCAAGCTCTCAATAAATGACAACTATGATGATTTCATTATTCTTGGTGTGAATGATGATGATAGTCATCATAATCTAGATAAGCTTAATTTACGTTCTTAGTATCTCATTCTCCCTTAAAGTCAGAAGAGGCTGTGCACTCAGCCTACCAGAAACAAAGCTTAGGTGCCTTAAGACTCTCTGGCTTTGCACCTCAGCTCTATCACTCACCAGTTTTGTGCCCTTAGACAAATTACTTAACCTCAATGGGCCTGAGTTTCCTAATCTATAAAGAAAAAAAAAAACAGGGGTAGGGATAATAAATCTATTTATCTCACAGAGGTGTTATGAAGATTGAAGAAAATACATGCAAAGTGCTTACAGTGCTTGCAAAATAGTAAACATTCAATGTTAACTATATTATAATAATGATAATACTGTATCATTATTTACTCTGCTTCTGTAGGCAAAACTTGGTAAACTTACAGCCCATGACAGGCCCATAACTGTATACTTAAATTATCTTCTGAACACATTTAAGTTTGTCTTTTTAGCTTGAACAGAGCTAAGAGAATACTCACTGACAATATGCCCCGTTGTTTGGAACGCAAGTTCAACTATGCTTTCATCTTGATCGGATGCGGCTAGATGAAATACAGAAAAAATGTTCTTCCATCCGGACCGGATGTTAGCCGCTTGAGAATTAACCATCTGTGCTATACACCGTACAACCATATCTCGAATCGTTGGAGACCTAAAATATTAATATAATTGCTTGGATAAAACTCATCATTTTTTTTTTCCCTTTCTTCTGTTAGTCCCGCTGCTGTGGAAAATAATATGGTATTTTTCTGATTTTAAGCAATTCAACAGATATAATACCTGTTCCGTTTCATTATATGTTCAAAAGGTCTTAAGAAATCCTTCTGGAATCTGAAATTAGCAAGCTCCCCTTTCTCTAAGAACTTCATTGACAACTGCCTCAAGGAGTCTACTGCAAAAATAGCTACATCTTCATTAGGATTACAGCCAACCTGCAATGGCAACAGAAATATAGGGTGCTAATGTCAGCAGTGAAAGTATACGTCTTTATTTTTGTTTTAGAAAAATATTAAATTAACAGCATAGACAGGTAAATCCAAAGATTCTTCATAAGGCATTAAGTGTGCTAACAATATTTCTCAAAAGGAAGAACAAATTTTAACTAAATTCTTAAAACCTAGAGTAATCCTTTCTAAAAGAAAAACAGGACTCGAAGGGTTTTCTAAATTTAATCACAAAAATGTAATAAAAAATTGTTTGGAAAGTGAAAAGGTCTTAGATTATGATAAGAAAATTTTAAACAACAAAAAATATTACAAATTAAGCAAATCCTATAATTATTCAAATACCTTATTAAAATGATCTCCAATAACTTCCCAAATTCGAGACCACTGCAATCTTATTCTTCCCATGTTGTAATACGATATTTCTACTATTTTTTGTAGACTAAACATTCTTGGGTGTGTAGTGGAAAGTAATTCATCCATAGACACAGCACAGAGCCAACGGACAAAATCCACTATAATATAAACAGATTAACATTTTTTAACCTTAACTTTCAAGTCTTTTAGCCAATAAGTTAATTTATAAGTGGACTAAATGTACCTACTTACCAATAGCATTGCCATCTAACCTTGTGGATCCTGTAAATATTCTAAAAAAAACCAAAAAACATAATTCAAAAATTTATAAAGTCTCAATTCAGATACATCAATTCAAAAGAAAGGGGACTGGGGTACTAGCTACTTTTATCTTTTTTAAGGGAACAAAAAAAATCAGGTGAAATGATTTTTTGTTTATCATATAGTTTAGTAACAAGTGTAGCTGGATGTTTCTCCATCCCTCCTTTGCAATCAACAGTATATTAGAGTACAAATACATTGTTGTAATTGTATCAATAAATTTAAAAACACTAGGATAGGTATCTTATGAGAATCTAAGAACAAGAAAAATATTACTTTGTAAAACTAATAATTAGCATACACACAAGAGTAGATTTTTCAATTTTCCTGAGTATTCACTAGCTTTAAGCATGTTCTTAAAATGAAAAATTCTACCTTATTTTAACAATGTACGTTTGATTTAACAACTCATTTATGTTAAATTACAAGCGATTAACAAAACGTTCCAAATAGCCTCCAACAGTTTAACCAACAAGTGGCTAAACCACTTTTCTTAGGGTAGTCAAATGTTCAGAGTTAAGCTGTGCTGTCCAGCTTTGCCCTGCCTTCTTCACTGAGCTCTTTTCTTGTGTTTCAAAGTTTCATGAAAGATTTCCACATAAACATACTGGTCCTCTTATTTTCAAGTCTGCATTTTTATCCATGTTCTGAGTTTGTAACCAAGGGTTTGACGTGACTTTCAGGATGAACTGACATTCCTCAATTTAAAATGCACATCATAGGAGTTGTATGATAAAAAGGAAACCTTAAAGGCAGGAGCAGGTCACATATTAAACTTAGAAATAAAAGTAATCATAGTAACAGTAACAGTAACAGATACCGCCAATCACAGGGTGGGCACTATCCTAAGTGCGCTCTGTGTATCTGTTCATACACAATCACGAACACCCTGAGAAGTATGCAGTATTACACTCCCAACTTCATAAACATAGGAACTGAGGCACGAAGATATTTAACAATTTTCTGAAAGTCGCAGGACTAGTAAATGCTAGAGCCAAGATTCAAACCAGGACAGGCCAACACCAGAGTCCACTCTTGCCAACTGCTTTACTACACTGTCTCACACTTACCTGAGCAAAACATAATTTAAACATTTAAAATTTACCCTAGTTTTTTCTTACTACCTCAGTCTAAATGTTCTGAGTATATCATGATTTTTCGACCTCAATGCCCTTGAATGTCTATATGACCTGCAATGAGTAACAAAAACAAGATAGAAAAAAACAGCTTAAAAACTGACAAGGCAGTAACTCAGAATCTGACCTCTCGCTAATGGGTATCTTGAGATTTTGTATATTGCTCTTGTGTGTAGAATAGAACAGCAATTCAGAAATCTAGCTGACCATACAATCGGGGGGGGGGGGGCGTGGAATAAGAGTGACAGGGTCCCATTCAACCCAGCGGTTAGACTGGATCCAGAAATTAAAGACATACAAGTCTGCAAGCCTCTCATGAATGAAAATGAGACTCACCAGACTATGTATTATGAATGTTGTAAGCTGTTTCTCAAAGGAGGTATTCTCATGGAAGGCGATGGTTATAAAAACTATACCACAAAGAGTGTCAAAACTACACAGTACAGGAGACAACAGGAAAAGGAACAAAAGAAACAAAAAAGACCTTTAAAAAAAATAACAGAGAAGGAAGCAAATGGCAAAGAGCACAGCAGTGAGAACAGAAGCAGAGATGGGGATTATATGCAACTCCGGGGAAACAGGGTGGAACCCTCTAAAGGAGATGGTGGAGAACGAAGGCAGCAAGGACAGAGGATCATCAGCAAACAGACGGGGTCTGCAGACCCAGGTGACGGTGGAAGTAGGGGGAACATGCATCCTGGGAAAGGGCATTCAAATTCCTACTCACTTTGGTAGCCTCTGAGGGTCACTCTATTTCTAGTAATGCTCCACTAAAGAAAAGCCACACGGTGGAGCACGGCATTCTGTGGAGGCATTTAGAGTTAAGCCTTAATGCACTAAGGCAGGAGGAGAGAGCTGTGTTTCATAAAATCAGTCTATGACATGGGTTCTACATGCCCTGTACGACAAGCAGAGGACAGAAGCACGAGGATCTTGTGTGTTAATATTAAAAGACATGCCCTGAAAAGGAAAAGTACGAGTAGGAAAAAAAACTGCTACATTACTGATTCATCCACATGATAGCAATGCAACAATGAAAAAAAAAGAAAGATAAAAACTGCAGATTCTGGATCAAATAAACTTTGAACTGTATGCAACACACAAGCAGACTAAATTACTGTATATGCAAAAAGGCTTCCTAGTGAAATAACAGAGGTAACATTTCTTAGAGCCAACTGGAAGGTATGCATGAGCAAACACAGTTGGGAAGGAGCTATACGTACTTTCTGACAGGTGACAGAGTGCTCCAAAGTGTGCGATGGGTCAGTATGAAGCTAGATCTGGTGTGCTTACAAACCAGTAACAAAAACAAGAACTATGCTGCTAATTACTGGTGTTTAACTTTCAGAGGTAAGTCAGTCCTGGACAAAATCTACCCCTGCAGAGTTTAGTAATACTTACAAAACTGATCTAGTTTAACAATGCCTAGAAAATGCTACCGTAGCAAATCCTAGAGGATCAGGTACTTCAAGTTAAAGTGCCCTATATTCTCCTAAATTCTAATAGTACAGAATTTCTAATACCAAAGTGGAGATAATTTTAAAAATTTACCATCTTAAAGCTTTTAATGGAACCAAGAATTTTTTTCTATTAAGAAACAGAAGCTACAAAAATAAGCAAAGTTATTAATTTTATTTTTCATGTTTAGTTCCTATACTTGCCGTAACAGATTATTCAGAACAGGGAGAGAGAAATGACCTTTTTTACTGGACAAGTGCAGAACTCACGAGGATGACGCCTGACAATGTCCTGAATGCCAGGGTTACCTCACTGAGTTAGCTTAGGGACTAGAATCAGAGTATTACAAGTGAAAACAAACTCAGATGCTCAGAAAGGAATTCAGAAGTTTAATGAGAAAGTGATATGCACCATGCAAGAATAATATAATCATATAATAGATCAAAGATGTAATTTTTAATGCTATCACTTTAAGGTGAAATTTAAATATTGAGGTTTTGTATAAAATTGGACATTGGATTTATGTTTGTATAAGTATTTGGTGACAATGAGTTTGAGACAATGAAGTACCAGTAGAATTTGTCCTAAGGCTCCTTAGAAGTAGCATATTTTCTTAAAATGGAGAGGCATGTCATTTGTTCCAAGTGAGTGACATGTCTCCCTGGGACAGTCAACAGTTAGATACATTAGAACTGGGTATGGTCATGTAAAGTGTATTATAGAAATAATAAGTCAAATGTTGACTCTTGCCTGAATAGATTCTCATAATGACAATGAAAATGATTTTCTGGATGGCTAGAAAATCATGTGGAAAAAATCTACCGTAGCAGCAGGACAGACGTTACACTGCTCTGGAGCTGCACACGCAGGCAGAGAGGCAGAGAGGTCAGAGTGCGCACTCAGAGACACGCTGCCTGCGTGTACATCCTGGCCGTACTCCTTCGCATTCTCTACTGATGAAAGGGTTATCACAGTAATCAAGACAAGATTCGCCGGGCTGTGCGAATGTGCAAGTGTCTAATTCCCTTCTGTCTCAGGTTCCTCATCTGTAAACTGAGGACAATACTACTCATCTCACGGGGCTACTGAAAGGATTAAATGAAGCAACACATGGGAAGCACTCTGAAAGGTGCCAAGCACGTGTTAAGTCTTTGAGTTACATAGTAGGTATAAGATGATACACAATCTTTTTCCAACCTTCGTGAGAAAAAAGCAAATGACCTCCTTCCCCTAAAAACAAAAAAGGAGAAGAAATCAACCAGACATTAAAATTCTTTTCAATGAAAAAGTTTCAGGGAGTATTTCCAGAGGCAGCAGCCAGTGAACCCTAGTTTTGCCTATACTTAGAGCACAAAGTTTCATCTAAAGCAGAGTAAAATAATGTATCAGTACCAGTCTCTAGGCATCAGGAAAAGATTACATATGTTTTTGAAAGTTTCTATCAGAAGTGGTAAAAAAAAAAATTAAACGGCATTACTGTAAAATGTTAAGCTTTAATTATTTGGGCATTCATCTGGAAAAAGCTGATCTTCAAAAAACACTAGCTATTGCTTTACACACTGAGAATTAAAATCTAGAATAAACTAAATATTCCACAGTAAAATAAACCACAGTATATAGATTTTTCTTTTAGAAAACAAACTGAAGATGAACACCTGATAATGGGTATAATATACAAATTCCAAAATCCTTTTCAAAGAAACGTGTAAGAATTACCAGCCAACCCCTCATTTCACCCATAACACAGTCCTCCTGTATCATACACTCAGAACAACGAATTACATTCCATTTTCAAAAAGGGATAATAAGGAGAGTATATTTTCTATAAAGGAAATTTTTTTAAAATAAAGGAAAAAAATTGTGTTCTTTCTCACAGTAATCAAGGTTACCATTTCCCTAATGCTCATTAACATCTACTGTCACTTAAATTTTCATACTGTTATCTCCTTCCTATATTTTGTGACTTAAAACGCAAAGTATAGCTACTTCATCATTTAAATCACGGTACATCACAATGTAGTCTTATATTACTTAAGGAAAGATATTTTGGCAATAATTTTTTTCCTATTTACTGATGAGCAAGATATGTCTAAATGCTACAGAACTGAAAGAGTACTCATCTGAAAGGGAATAAAACAAACACCTTACCTATCCACAGCAACAACAACACTTTGAGAACTGGTTTCTCCAATGGATTCCTGAATACTTGCTATCTGCTTCCAATCCACATTTCCTCCAACTAGCACAAATAAAAGAGAATCATTTCAGTTTGAAAATAATCCAGTGGAAGAAGACACTTACCGTATTAAAACACATTCCTAAAATCAGTTATTTTCCTAATGAATAAAGCTTTGGGTGAACGATCCTTTCAGCATCAGTGACCTTCATCAGAGCCAAACGTGCTTACTGAGCTATACTAAGTGGTATACAGACACAGTTAAGAGACACAAACTGCGCTTGCAAAGATCACAGAGATTAGGGCCACTGAGAATTCTGACCACAAAATTACTGACATTAGGCATAATCTCCCCCCGTGTTTAAGAAACACAGCACTCACCCCAGTTCCAAAGATACCTACTTAGGAGGATTCCCAATTCCATGTAATTAGACCTGCCTTGTCACTTAATCTCCAGTCCCCTGTTCACAACGTTTATTGGAGATTCTATCTGTATGCTGTATATCCTCTTTTTCAAAAGAATCTTTTATCTTTTGACCCAGCACTGGTTCCATGTGTTAGCAGAACAACAATTTCCCCAGTTTTCAAACTCTTGACCTTACAATCATCTTTGATATCATTCTCTTCCTCCACTATCATGGAATCTTTCTTTTGACTTTTTTCTCGTATCATTCATTCATTTTCATTACTACTCAGTTTAGACCCTTGTAAGTTCAGGCCCAGATTATGAAAACAGTTTCCTGACTGCTCTCCCTGTCGCTTTCTTCCCCAGCTGAACTCAAATTCTATTCTAGGAAACTGAACAATGTGAAAAACATGTGATCCCTGTCTTCACAGAGTTAATAATTCACCAGGATTACAACCAACTTTAATATAATATAATGATTACTTTGTGGCTAAAATGAATTACATGTAACACAAGTGCTGCTAAATAGAACTAATTTCGATACGGGAAGGGAGAATGGTGGTGTCAGCTCACGTAAAGGCTTCACATATGATGAAATATAATTCAAACTGGGCCTAGAAGGAGAATTGTGTGGGAAAGGAAAAAGAAAAAGCAATTCAGGTAGACAGAGCAGCACATATACAGTAATGGAAGTATGCATGGGGGTGTCCCATTTTACCACACCTGGGTGTGGCCATAATGGAGGATTCTGGCAGGGGACCAGGAAGGAGAGAGAGAAGGGTAGCAGGAGATCAAGCCGGAAACACAGACTAGAAACAGAATGTGCAGAACCTGGACTGTCATGTAGAATGTACTACTTTTGAAAACAGGGAACCATTAAGACCTTTTAGAAGATAACATGATCCAATCTATTTTCTGAAAAATAATTCTGGTAATATCTGTGGAACACAGTGTAACAGCTATTGGAGCCATGGAGACAAACAAAGAGTCTACTTCTGTCACACAGTGAATAAAGATGAAAGTCTGAAATAAGTGCAGACAACCGGGCTGGCAGGGCAACAGTGTCAAGCAACACGTGAAGTGTGCAGCACGTTACAGGAGTTTAAGGAAGAAAAAATCATGCCAGTCATCACACAACTTCCTTTGTGTATCAAATAAATGTCTTTCCTATGGAGTTTTCTATACGTTTTATATGTAAATATAATAATTTGTAATCATTAATAATAAACCTATTCATCAAAATCAAAGAATATTTAAAATATCTAACAACCCAAAGAAACTATTTCATAAATATGTGAAATCTTTGAAGTATCTGTATCATAATACACATAGTAGGCTAACAGTTTCAGTTTTACCAAAGAAATTACTCAAAAGCACAAATATTTAGGTTAAGTAAGAACAAAGATGTAGGTGTTGTGATATTCACTTAAGATTTACATGAACAAGCAACTGAAATTTTAAACTTTAGTATATACTATAAAAGAACAGTATGCATATAATTCAAATCTAATAATCATATGCTATATATTCTTCATAACTACAGGTTTCATGTTTCCAAAAAGTTCACGTACAGACTTGAATCGTATCAGTTAACAAAGTCAGATAAACATATATTCATGGATGCTGTTAACAAAGGAGGATATACAGACCACACCAGTTCAATCGTCTATACCACACCCTCTTCCAGCTTCAGCTCTGACTACAGCCCTGAACTTCAGTCCTGAAGAAAGCATCTGAGCAGGTGACAGGGAGCAGATGGACGGGGGGACATCTGCCACAGCTGGTAACCAATGACAGAACCTGAAAGGTGGGCTCTGCCCAACAGGGGCCACGCCAACAGACTGCTCTCTCAAGAGAAGTATGTGACCTAAGGGAAAGCCTAGGTAACGCCTGAGAGACAGGTGGAAGAAGTGGCTGGCTGCCTGAGAGGCCTGGAAGGCTGAAATTTTTATTTCATTTCCAGATTCCAAGAGTGTATATTTTAACGTAAATTCCCTTTTCCTGAAGGGAGAAGGCAGGTCATCTCATATTCTTGCAACTCAAGTAGCACAACAGCACAGTGATCAAATTAATTTTAATTCATTTTCAAGTATACCAATAAATATTATCAGCAAATACTATTTCTCTCTTTTCCACTCAGGCTTATAAAAGATAGAATATTCCACTGGGATTTTATTTTCAGTATAACCTACTTCTGTTACTTGCCAAAATTGAGCCCTGGCAATTTCACCTGTCTTTATTTGGACTTTCTTCTACTCCCTTGGCCAAAAAAAAAAGCTTTCAAAGGCTGAAAAACCTTTCAAAAGCTACTCAATCAATGCACATTCATTTCATTGGTCTGTAAATATTTTTCATCTGTATCTCATGCTACCTTCTGGAACAATTATAGTTCTAATGTCTGAGTCAGACTTCCACGTTACATAAGTCATCAAGTTATGAGGTCTACACCTGGACCTCCCAGAACCACAGTTTCTAAGATACAAGTGAGGTACACACTGCACTGCTGGCTGCCACAGCTGGATCACCACTGGGAACCAACTGTTCCCAGTCCAACCTGAAGCCACACACGGTCCTCATCTTAACTTCTTTCCCTATGGATCATTTTTCAGGCTTGAAATTCTGCTGAATTTCCTAAGAACTTTTACTGCAAGCAACAGAGAAATCACTAAATGATAAAGACAGAAAATGTCCAGAAGTATAATGTTACAAGTCAAAGTCTTAAAAGGTAAATGGTAACATTCTTAGGTCTCAGGTGTATTCCTTCCCATTCTCTTTAAGACACATCTCTAGGTTTCTCGGTTAGAAGTGGTATGGAAGATGAATAGAGAATAATCCAAAAACCATTAATATACCAACCACTGTACTAAGTCCATGTATATGTATTTTTACCTAATCCTAACAACTCTGTAAGTAGATATTACCATTAGTTTGCAAAAGAGGAACCTGAAGCTCAGAAAAGAAAAGTAACTTTCACACAGAAGGAAGAAATACAGAAGAATTCAAAGCCAGAAGTATAGCACTCAGAGTCAGAGACAATCTAAACTTTGCTTTTCCCCTCGTAGAACTCTTTTCATTTATGACTAAAAATACACTGTCTTTCGCTCTTCTGTATCTAATTTTGCTAATATCTTCCTCTGCTCTCCTGTGTTAAATCTGGAAGCTCCTGGCCACACTGAGTTCACAGGAACCCACGGGAAGCTTTCCACACTGGTGGAGGACTTTGGTTGTGTCTACACAGTGTCTTTTAAAACTCTGAGTGTAAATGCCTTCTCCAGTTGCCCAACTATTTGTCATCTTACACAAGCCTTCACTCATTTAAGTTATCTGCTTAGTCTTAAAAGCAGGTAAATTTTAATATATATATATTTTCAGATTATTTTCCATTATAAGTTACTACAAATATTGAATATAGTTTCCTATGCTATACAGTAAATCCTTGTTGCTTATCCATCTATTTTATATATAGTAGTCTGTACATTAATCCCATACTTCTAATTTCTCTCTCCCCTATCCCTCTCCCCTTAGGTAACCATAAATTTGTTTTCTATGTCTGTGAGTCTGTTTTGTATACAGATTCATTTGTATTATTTTTTAGATTCCACGTATCAGTGATATCATAAAATATTTGTCTTTGTTTGACTTATTGCATTAAGTGTAATATTCTCTAGGTTCATCCATGTTGCTGCAAATGGCAATATTTCATTCTTTTTTATGTAAAAGCAGGTAATTTTAAACTGCACCCTTCTCTCACCCCCAACTATGAGATTAAGACTAAGGGTCATTTAATGTTGCAAACTAGACCAGGCAAAAAAGATTAGGTTCTCTCCAGTGTTATCCTGCTTTCCCCTCATAAGGTTAGCCAAAGAGCATTTTATCATATTCCTCTAATTCTATTTCACTGCTCCAAAAGAGTTACTTATACTGAGCAAGTTAAAAACAATTTGATATTTTATAAAAATAATTTTAGATATTCTCACCTAGCCCTAGACCCACAAATTCATCAGGAGCCTGATCTTTTGTTCCAGTAAGAGATCCTTCTCTGCCTCGTACCGTTCCAGAAATGTATCGAGGTTTCACTCCAGTTCCTATAAGTTGTGCAAGCTCCAACTGACTGATGCACTTCAGAATCTTAATTACAAAAAGGAAAGTTTAATTCCATGTTAAAAACATTTGCAAAAATATTTACCTGTATGAAGCCACGATTTAAACATAGACTACATTATAAACCATTATAAAAAGCTAAATATACTTACCCTGAATG